AGACTGAGCTCAAAGTCTTGGAGGAGTGCAGCTGAAGTGTGTAAAATACTGTTAAAAGTTTACTGTTAGAGCTGACAAGGGATGGTGAAGTGCTGTGAGACCTGGGTATAAAATCTGTTGTGTACCCGGGTGATAAAGAGGACCAGACAAGATCTCTTTTGCAAAAAATACAGCCCAAATTGGACGCAGAGGTTTTTCCCGATCTCTTTCCTTTCATGTACAGCTCTATTAACTCACCAGATAACAATAACCGCTCTATAATAGTACCGACCATATAAAACACTTGGTAAGCGAAATTTGTTTTGGTAATATTCAGTCCTTCCAGGAAGTTGCGATGTTGCATTTGCAACAATGAACACAAATTCAACCAAAAGCAAAACGTTGAACCAAGTGTCGCCAAACTCACTTCCTTGTTTCCATGTTTAGTTGTGACATGAAGATCTCACATTTACCCTTTTCAACAGTGCGATTTTATTCTCACGGGAACAAGTTACCTTCAGTTGTAATGAATTATACAAAAAACAACCACAGCTATTTTTTTTTTTTTTTTTTCGAATTTTGAAAAAATGCTTTAAAACGTTGCAACATGCATCACCATTATTTTGGAAAAGCGGCTGTGAAATCCGACATTTCAGGTTGCAACAATCCCAAAGAAATCCTGTAAAATCTTGAAGGGACTGAGTATTAGCAAGATGTTGCGGTGTCATAGAATAATACAAAAAAAATAATTGTAAGGGTCTTTAATTAACAGCATGACAAACAAATCTTACTAATAAGAATAACATTTTTTGGTTATATTTACTCAAACGTTCATCCAGAAAGATTTAGAAGCAGAGCGTTGCTGTGAAAATACAGTGTAGAAATTGTGAGATGTTTCATGTTTACAGAACAACCAAAGCCTACGGTGCTGGTAGTTGTTGGTAGTGTGTACAGTGCAGCCTGATTAATACAGGTTTTGGATTTTGTTGGGTTATTGCATATATATTGGTATTGGTGATGTATGTCACCTGTAAAATGTCCACCCAGTATGTAGCTTGGTCACAGTTATTTAAAAAACGAATCTAAGGGATCTTTTATCAAATTGTTAAAAGTTACAATTGGTAGATATTTCATTATCAGACTTTTAAAGGCCACAATATTGATCAGTATGTGCCTGAAAAATGTGGTGTTGACTGGGTTAGGATTTTGATAAGTATCCTCTTTCTTTAATGTCTGGGCTGGACAAACTATGAATGAGCAGCTGTTTCTAAATGACCTCCAACATATCTTTGGATAGGGGTGCTGACTGCTCACACTAACATCCCTAGTTTGACTGACCGGGGACTTTGGGCACTTGTCGCTCCCCACTCCTCTCTCTTTTGGTTTCCTATCATTTGTGCACTCTCCTAAATAAAGGCACTAAAAGCCCCCCAATCCTAATTATGAAGCCGTGTCTTTAGCTGTCTGACGCACGCACTGATGTCAAGATATCTGTAATAAGCTCAAATTGGCAGAATCACTCAGGCTCTAGTTCGCTGCCCGGGGAAAGTGCCTGGATTGCACTGGGAGGCGGTACACCCAGTGGTTTTTATCATATTCATGGTATCATTCCAGACCAGCGCTTTTAAACATCGTGTTGTGCTACCACTGACACGAGTACAGCCGCTGTGTCCTCTGTCTCTGTTTTTTGCATGCAGAGAAAAAGTCTTGCCAAAGATACAGATGGGACGGGAACTCCCCAGGGGCAGACGGAGACATTGTATATGAGCATGTTGACATCCTTGTCTGCTCATCTCGAACCCCGATTCCCTTTTAATTATTTATCTTAAAGGAGCACGATGGTGAGACGGCGGTTATGCAAGAGTTTTAGCCTCCATCGTTCCCCAACAGTGGTAAATTCAATGACCCACTTGACATTCGCAGCAAACAGCCAACAGAGTCACACTGCCCAGTGCCCAGAGGCTGTGCTCATTACTGCTGATCAGCATTCACACAGTCCTTACACAACACACTGCAGTCCTGCATTCAAGCCATCACCTAATGAAATGTTTCATTTTCACATCAGTTTTTATAGTTTAGAATATAATGTAACCGACAACAGGGTAAAGTGCAATAACTGTAAATTTGTAAGACAGATTCGTGTTGTCAGGGAAAGCCTTTGAGGGCCTTAGGAGCGCAGTCTGTGGTGGCCAGTGTTCTGACTGTGCTCTGTAAACTTCTATCCTCCTCCTAAATAAAAGGATACAGTTGTTTTAGAAGTATACAGCTTTTCCTGGGAGTTATAGTAAACAATCCTGGCCACAAAAGTCAAAAAAGGAGATGTAGCTCAGTAGTAGCGTCCCATCAATAAAACAGTGCAACGACTGCCAAACATGTCCAGCCTCTGAAGTCAACTATGTGCAGCTAGTTTTGTTTGTGAACTAATAATATCACTTCACCAAATACACTGAATGCCAAAAGTAGAAGAAGTATGTCTAACAGAACAGGACAGTATTTATTTTACGACTGAAGAAACAGTGTTGTCCAAAAATCTGTGATCTTTGAAAGATTTGGGTTGGAGGAGGGTGGGGTTAGGGTTAGTGCGATTGGGAGTAAGGGTAGGGGAGTAAGCAGTATAATGTTCTTCAATCTGAAGCCAAATGTTGAATCCTTTTCCCAATGGACAGCTGCTTCTCGCACATTTATTTGTGTTCAACTCCCGGTGAAGGGTGGGTCCTTAACTTGTCCTGCACCAACCACAAGTCCTAAGTATAAAATAGTAGCTAGTACTTAGGCTCTTAAACTAGCGAGCTTCAATTGTGTGTTCAAGTGTTTCAGTTTTCAAGGCCGGCTAGTTGGTGAACTCCTCTGGTTCTGGTCCCTTTCTCAAAGACAATGCTGCAGGAGCAATTTCTACTTTACTGCTTTTTTACAATAAATTTCAAAGTACTTCTTAAAGCAATCCTTTATGTGGCACAGATAAAAAACATATGACTGTCGGTCCTCTTGTGCAAGATACAAGAGTGAATGCAGAGCTGCTAACGTGACAGAAGAGCAGTCAATTGCTCACTTGCACTTTTAAATAAAAAAATGTGCCATTAAATCACACCGCCAACAGCTGTCCAGGTCAGCACTGATTTCAAATGATAGAGGGTTTACCTTAATCTGCCAGGGATCATTAAACTATGTATTCCCATCGAGACACATGGTGCCTGATTTATAATACGACAGCCATATTGTCCATCTTTTATCTGAACCCTTTAACATGCAAACTTACTGATGTCAGGCTTAGTCAGGAAAGACTGTTTGTCCCAAATCCAACATATGTATTTTTCTTCCTGCAGGAAAGCTTTAATGATAATCAGTGCTTATATTTAAAAAAATAAAATAAAAATCCTCTTTCAGTAATCTGTTGAGATATCTACTGTACACGATCAGAGCAGAAACGGCTGCCTCACAGCTGTTGTGGCATTTAAAGCTCAGAGGAGCAGCACTGAGAGGAAACCTGGACACAAGAAGACAATGTTTATGCGCCTGACTGTCATATGAAGTGGTTAAAAACTTTTTAAAATGACACAAGGATGGGAGTGTGTTATAAAAATCAAACATCTCTGTTTTTAGTTTTCACCGTGGTTCTCTCTGCTAATTGTAACAGTAGAGGTTTTATTTGAGAGGTTACATGAGGCAAGAAGTTCACTTTCCATGCTTATCTGCCAAGTTTTGAACAGTATCTTTATTTTGTCTGTGTACGGCTTGTCATTTTTTGTTTGTTCTGGTTTTAAAGGACACAAAAAAGCAGATGGACTCATTTTCGTTAGCGTCTGTCACAACTTGTGAGCTTTAAATTAGAAAATGTTCACTTATGAAGTTGGAAATAAGACATCAGTGGGTCATTCAAATTGACAGACTGCTTTTGTAACAAAATCATTTGGACGTACGCAGAATATTTGGTCAGCACATGTCCCATACACCTCTGATTGTCATAATAAAATGCAGCCACCTGTAGTAAAGGGCTGGTTGGTGCTGGCAGATTCAAATACTGATACTTTGAACCAAATCTTTTAACATTATGTAGATAGAGTTCAGTTTAATGTAATCATGTTTTGCGGAAGATAATTTATAACAGTGAAGGCTTGTTAAGGTGAGGCATTTACTGTCTAAACAAACTGGAATGTAGCCTTTAAGATGAGGAAAACACACATTTAAGCCCTGTTATAATCACAAAAATCTCAGATGACATGTACCAAATAGTCAAATAATATGATATCTTAGGTAGTGGCATGTATTTCCCAACTCTGCTGCCGTTGGGACATTGTTGTGTTAACTCGACTCTACTGCATTGATCTGCTGTGCAGGTGTCGTTCCATGACGTGGCGGCTCTCACACAGAAGCTGTTCCCTATCGTGGAGGCCATGCAGAAGCACTTCAGCGCTGGCTCTGGGGCTTACTACAGCGACGCCATCTTCTTCCTGTCTGTTGCCATGCATCACATCATGCCTGAAAGTAAGAAAAAGCACATTTTGTCACATTTCTTTGTCAGTTAAATACCTACAAATATTGCTTTAGATCGAGAGTTTTGAGTGTCTGAGTCCCCTATGTAAAGTCCAAAGAATGATCTCCCACTGGTGTTGGTGACTGGTTGTAAATTTAATCACTGATGCATCCATGCAGTTTTTATTTAGAGATATCTTTCTTTGGAATTTCTGCCACCACACCAAAACAACTGGATTGAATTGAATTTTATTTGTGCAGCACTAAGCAACACAATTACTCTTACAGCAAAATGTTCTCTTTAGAAGCGATGTCTCAAAGATGTCAAGTAGATTTTGGCTGTTTTTCAACAGATGATAATTAAAATGTGTAGAGACGGGATTGATTTTAAAAAAGCATTAAACAGAAACAATTTAAAACTTTGCTTTGATTGATGTTTAGTGTTTTTCTGTGAAGTTAAATAATTTTAATAATAATATTGCAATTTTAAAAAAAAACCTGTATTTTAAAGTTTGCTATTGGAGTTACCCTTCAAATGTTGATTAAGAGTTGTACCTCAGTGTCACTTTCTCTCTATGAATTGATTAATAAGTTACAATATATTGCTTTAAAATGTGTATTTTGCTTTGATTCCGTGGCAGACCATCTTTTAAATTCACTCAGATGCTCACTTCTCTATTCTGGCACTCATGGTGCACAGCTGGAAATGGTATTATGGGCAGGTATCTAACAGACACGTGGCAAGCTGCAGAGGCCATGGGGAGTGAGGAAGGAAGGATGTGTTTCGTCACTGCTGCCCACATTAGTGCCCCCTGTGTTGGTGCTGACCGATGGAGGAACCACCTCCGGTGTGCACTGTTGTGGTTCACTTCAGTTGATGTGCAGCATGGGGTATGACTCCGCACATTCAAACTATTGGGCTTTAGGGTTTGAATCGATAAGTCACCACATGTGAAAGTCTCTGTCTTGCAGACAGCAGCCCTGTCCCATTTGAGATTTTAAAACTATATATATATATATAAATAAAATTATATATTATTTTTTATATTAATATATATATTATTATTATATATATATATATTTTTTTTAATAGGGGTGCCCAAATCACCAACAGAGGGTATAATGATGTGTTTCCTACTCTGAAGCCAACAGTTTCTGTTTTTCAGCAGTAAGGTGCATTTAAATATTTTTCATAAACATGGCAGTACTGGAATTTATTTTAATTTGGATGAGCTGAATTTCTTCATTTATAAACCTTTCCACCAAAAACAGATGCTGTGCACATTTGAAGGCTTGACAAATCAAATTCGTTTTCTTTAAAGGTTTTCTATAACACATAAAAGTATGCTATTAACATTACTCGGGGATGGATATCAATTAGGGAGCAAAAGAGGAAAATTGTGAAGAAAAGATTAGCGTCTAAAGGACGAGACAGGATGATAAATAAAAGATTGTATTTGGGAAAAATGTTTGAGTGTGCGGTTGTCACTCAGCTGTCAGTTCTGAAAAGTAATTTGTGGTGGAGCACAAAGTTGTTTTGAACAGATTTTAAAAATATAGCCAATGTGGCATTGGGTGTATTGTATGATGTTTTTTTTTTTTTCCCCAGCAGTTCCTTGTATGAAGTGGAGGTGTGCGTCTGATGGTGTGTCACGTTGTGTCCTTATTGATCAACCACGTGAAGCACCCGTCTGCTCTGTGTATCCAAGTGGTCACACATTTCTTTTTGAAGAATGCTTTTATCTATAAAGGGCATAATGTGGTTGTCTTAACAGAGAGAGTGGGGGTACATGGGGCTTCACGCCCTCCTTCTCTGATGTAGCCATTTTTCTCAAACTGTCTTCGTTCAGCGAGCCTCGCAGCAGACACAGAACGTCGCTTTTGAATAATGACAGTGAAACAAAAGTGATATCTACAAATATAAATAGCAGCTGCAAGTGGGAGGGCTGGAAATGTAACATCCCCAACTTGTGAAGTGGGAGCAAGTTTAACTCGGTTGTCAAAAGAGAAGAAAGAAGTAGAAGAAAGTGTTAGTGTTTTGGGTTCAGTATTAAGCCGGCTACACAGCCTGAATAGTAAAGTGTTTGTTCAGTATAATTAGGAAATAAAATGTTTGTGAGGTCTGTATTTAATGTTTATTAGACCTATGTAGTACAGACTTATAGGTCTAATAAAGTAAATAAAAAGTATATAGGCTATAGATGGGGCTTTTTAAGTTAGATGCCAGTGAATCCCACACAGTCATCCTTTAAAACACTCTATTTTGTACTTAATATTTTTAAGTTAAATAGAGGTGGGGGTCATACAGTAATTTCTTGTATAACACCCCACAATATTTTGCCTATAATGAGAGTAAAAGTCTCACAACACAAACATATTAAATACATGATACTATATTGCAAAACAGCAGTCAATCATATATCACAATATCTTTGTTACTGAAGATAAAATCAGTTTGAATACAATAGACAGTACAGTGTTGCACACCTGGCAGACGGACTGAGGAGAAAGAAAACGTCTCTTAGAAACAACTATAAACCATGTATTTACCATAAACAAACAATCTTTAGTAATTAGATATAGTTTTTGTTTATTTTTTAAGTTGTGACCAAGATATACTGAACGGGACAATTTACAATTGAATAATCAGTCTAGCTCTAGAGTTGCTTTGGTTATGGGCCTTCGTCAGGCATCAAAAACAACTAAAGCCGCAGGCTATGACAACCTATCAAGAAGCAGAGCCAAATATCAAACACCTCATGTAATAATAAATACATATAATAAAACATCCATACATTGTGACTAACAATATATGTCAAAATAACAGGGTTGATGACTGATTTTGACTTATACTACATGATGCCTGACCAAAGCCACTCACCAAAATGTTGTGTCTCCAATAGGTCGGTGTTTACAGTGTGCAGAAATTCAACCTTTACTTTCACAGCTGAGACAAATTGTGTACCAAAGTGCGGAGAATAGCTCAGGACGGTTAGCTGACTCTGGCTATCTCGCAGCCAACCTAGAGATAGACTGAATAGTGACTGATGTGAGCTCAGTTTGTGTTTGTGGAAGAGATATCGTCTCTGGCTGCGATATACTAAACCGTGGAAGTCGAGAGAACAGCGTGTGGATTCTGCTTTTCAGACTTTCAGTCTGTCCCTGCCAGGTAGCTAACGCCAGCTAGCCAGCTGTCTGCAGATATTGGGCTGATGTCAACACAAACAGTGCAGAAGAATTAGTAAGCAGACTTTTAGTTTCAGCCCTGTCTGTGCTCAAAGTGGACGTGCTGTACTTATTTGAACTTGTAACGCGAATGTGAATTCGTAGCTGTATGGGACATCTTTTATTTTTTTAATCTGTGTCATATGTGTGTCATGTTTTGCATTTGCCAAAGAAAATAAATCCTTGGTCCACATTTTTATATTCAAGGAAACAACAGTGTTACAACAGAGAACTTCATGTGAACACTGGATGAAGCTTACAGACCATGATGGAAGCAGTCCATAGACGTATGGCTTAAAGAGGACTGTATTTTCACTATCTGTCCTTGGAGGATGAAAAATAAAATTGCACAATGGAAACCTTTTGTGATGAATGATAAGGTTCCTAAGAAACACTGTTTTTGTTCATGGACGTGTTCCATGATTTGTATCCCCTCTAGAGGTCTCAACATGCTGGGACTTGAGTCTCCTACGGCCCGACCTCTATTTTCCACCCGAGGTAGAAGTGGGACTGCTAATGTGCGAAGGATTGCTTTGCTTAATTGAGAAAGATGGTTACCTGGAGGTGAGATATAGCTATTAGTGTATATATATAGTCATGCAGGCCTAAAATAACACAGCAGATAAGCAATCAACATCAGTTTCTGGTGAAAAAGATGAAGCACCAAAAACATGCGATAAAACCTCTGAATCATTCAGAATCAGTTCTAACACGCAGCGTATTCCCAAAAACAAAGTCAAACTTTTTAGACGTCCCCTCTATGCCCTCACACACTGTTTCTCCAGAGCTAATAGCTCTTTCCGATGAATTTATTGATATAAATTAACAAGCCAGGGTTAAACATGAGTGGGATGGTCGACTGGATCGGGCTGGAGCTGAATGTAAATGTCCTGACTTCCTCTCTCTACTGTAGTAGACCAGTGAGCGTAACAGACACATTATGGTGAAGTCCAGAGCAGCTGGGATTGCACAGTTATACAGTTGATCAGGTCCACAAAGGAGACCCTTTCATTTGTAATCCATTGAAATATCACGTACTGATTGTGGGACAACCCCAACTTCATAACAATGTAGATGTATTACAACAAATGCAGTGTAGTCAGAGTCAATGTCTCTCACTGACTGACTGACACATGTTTAAATGCACATGTGCAACAGTTTCATATAGACCTCTCTTGAATTTGCAATGAAACCTAATAAAATTATTATTCCTACTTATTATCCCACAGAAATCCCTACTTTTACTCAAAAACAAGCCAGATTTTGAGGGTTTTTTTGTGTGTGTATACGTCCAGTTTTAATCATATTACTTTGTGTGACTTTGTGAAGTAAATGTCATGACCTTGAGTATCGTCATTCTTGTCTGGAAAGCCACTTAAAATTTTTTTTATTGATTGGTAGGGTGCCAGACGTAGCCTAACTAGCTTGTCATGCTGTGCAGATCAGTTTACTGTTAAATGGTTAATGAAATAACTGCCTACATGCAACGACTAATATTAAAAGGGCATGGTTTACTTTTAAAAGTCAACGGGGCTAGCAGGCATATTTTCATAATTTTAGCTAATGTTTTGAAGCAGTGGCAACATTGTTAGAGTGACGTTCAGTAATTTGATTTAACTCTAAACTTGATTTGCAGTCCAGCAAAACTAGCCTTGTTTTGTTATTTAAAAATTGGATTATTTTGAAAAAATAATTAATAACTGAAAAAGGGATTTAAGGAATTATACTATTTAAGAAAATAAAACACTAACTACTTATTTGTATTTAATGATAAACTCATGATCTCAAGCTTATTTATGTTTTTGTTTTCTCCTCTTTATATTTTAGAAGCATTTTCTGGTGCTTACGACTAGAGGACCCCGTTTACTGCAGTTGAAACACATCAACTTTTGGATGCACGGGAACATAATGAGGGTGCAAATAAATCTCCTTAAAAAATAAAACAGTGTTTGTTGGTAAAAATCAGTAAAACAATCACCCTTACATATAGGCTGTAAGTGCTCACATCAAGAGTGACATAAGGGCTTAATGAGGTTGACCCACTTTCTTCCTGAAAAAAAACTGTGTTTTGTGTTTTGTTGCTGTGGCTTAGTTGAGGACTGTCTGATCTGAACGGAGCCTCAGGCGAACTCTAAACCCTGCTAACAAAATTATTCCTGTGTGTACCTGCCCATGGACGTGTACACCCACGTATATGGGCAAGATTTATTATAACCCCCACTTATTTACTTATTTACTTACTTATTTATGTCAGTTCTCAGAAAAAATTAAATTCTCCAAAAACCATAAATATTTAAAGGTTACTTACATATACACGAAATGGGTGCTATAGTTGGCTGTAGTGCCCAACATACCTTCTTACCCTAAAAATAGTTAGAAGTTAAAATAGATACAACAGCCCGCAGCACAAAGCCCTACTTTCACCTTCACAGGACTTTAGCATTGAGTCATTGATCATCAAACCCACTACATCAATGTTGTAACAACTTAAGGCCCCCTTCCTGTTCTACTCCCACCAGTTAAGCCCCGTTCGTACAAACAAACAGCGCCGACCACTCGGAGATTACTCTTCCAAGCCCCCTCTCTGTTGCCACAGTACATGAAAGCATTGTGATGGCAGCTTCCTTGTTTGGAGAGCACAGAAAACAAGTGTCGTGTTGCTGAGTCTTCTTTTTCTGTCACTTGTTTCAACAGAAACCACCAATCGAATACTGGCACCAAGTTGTAGTCCAGCTATGATCTCCCCGCAGTTACAAGTATACCTTTCATTGTTTTACTTTGACTTTGTCGAAGCCAAAGTTGTGTTTTTTTTTCTCCTTTCTTTCCAAATTAGTTTTGTTCATCTGAGATGTTTGGCCACTTTGAGTACAGTCCTGCATTGGACTTCACTTGTCTATTTCTATCCTAGGATGAACTGATTAAACTGTTAATCAACAGCTTTTTTCACTTATACTAATTTCATTGTTCAGTTTCATGTAGCCTTCATCTTGCACAATACTGTTATTATGACATGAGTGACGACATAGGGATGTTTTTACTATTAGGTTTTAAGATGATTACGGTCCAAATGCCAACTTTTAGTTGATTTGTTTAAGTGCGTTACATTATGAAACAGCATAAAGATAGGACATAAGCATCCTGATTAGAGGAGCAAATGTACAACTCATACACTGTTGTGAAGTTGAAATACATTTTACTCTTTACTTTATACACATAAACTACCTGTAGGTTCTTTTTCCCCCTTTAATAAACATATGTTGTTTACATATTGGATGGATATCTTTCTAATAGTAAACACTTTGTTTACTTGATTGCTGCTGGATCTCAACAAGGCTCTGAAAGACTGAAACAGATCTGAAATCGGGCTGACTTGAGCTGGAGGTCTATAATGCAGACAACTCATGCAGCTCATTATTTTTAAGTACCCTCATCCCTTAAGTCCCTCAGCACCAGTTGCGCCAATTCCGCAGCAGTCATCACACCAAACCTTTTGCCTCGCCAATAAATGTTTACTGCCTTCAAACTTTGACAGTGTGTCTTAAGCTGACAAGCGTTTTCATCAGTCTAATAATCATGTTGTGCTCCTGGCACACCATCTCTGAGTCTTTCCCATCCTTTCATCGCCATGGCAACCAGCAAAACATAGGAAGCTAAAACAATGAACAGATGAGGGCCTGCATATCCTGGATACTGCTGTTACAATTTCAGTGTTACAGTGTTAATGCCAAATGTGCACTTTTTCTTTTAAATAGTCATGCTCAACTACATTTTCTCCCCACAGTTTTTAGACATTTATAGGCAATTCTGTTTTTTAAGTCAATGACAGCATTATAGAAACCAAAAGTCAACCACAGACCAACCATTTTAATCGTGTCAAGCTTTCCAAGACTCTTGTCAGTCTGATCTTATTTCCTCTAACTGCGTATTCCTGGAAGGACTCTTAAAAGTGATTAGGTAGACGTCAGTCACTGGAGTAGTCAGAAAAACTCAACCTATGTGCACAGATGACTCAGAAGTACACTTCCTGGGATAATTTAGAACATATTGAACTCAATTTGCCATTTATTAAGCTTGGTAAAAAATAAATGATTATTCATCATTCACATAGGGCAGACAGAGGTCACTTGTTCTGTGTCAAACAGCAATTATTCTTTTAGTTGTTTATTCCCTCAGTTACGCATGTTTAATCTAAGATGTTTTCAAGTTTGATGCCACCTAATCAATGCTTTGTTGTGCTCTTCTTTCAGGTCTGACACGCATAGTACAGCTTGACCTGGACCTGAAATACAGGACCAACATCAGGGACCTTTTCCAAGAATTTGACCGGTTTCCTCCAGGAGCCGTCATAGGCATCAGCAGAGAGATGCAGCCAGTCTACAGGTAGACAGAACACATCAGCTATTAGGGTTGTACAAAACTCATAAAAAATAAAATAAAATAAAGTTTTGGGCGTGGTTATGCTCTGACATTTATTACAAAGTCAGTTGTCCCACCTGAAGGGATGCAACAAGATTTCTCTGCTTCTGCTCAGTCTGCCTCTATGAGTCTGAGCCAACTCCTAGCTTGTAAAAATGTAGGCTAAATAGTTAATTTGATCATATAAATATTTAAATAATAGTTATGAATTTTTATTTTCACTTGGTTGTTGTGGATGCTGTATGAGACA